TGGTAGACTGCAGGAACCAGATGCGGTTCTCTGGGTTCCCACCGACAGCGCCGGAGAGGATGACGAGGAACTGCAACAGAATACCGCCGGCGAGGAGGATGAGGGCGAGGAGGCCCAGGATAGGGCCTGATACCGGGTCAGCATGCGCGTTTCGCGTCTTGTTTCAGGACGGGTGCGAACTCACGAGCGACGGCCATTGCAGTGATGGGGACTGTGTGTTTGCGATCGAAAGCTGAAACGGAAGCCTAGGGCTGGGCTGTGCTGGGCTTGTCAACACCAGTACTGGTCGAATTGTATAGATTGATGGATCACCGGTGGCTGACCTTTTCACGTCGGATAGGCGAGGCTGAGGCTGAGGCTGGGTGAATGTTGGGATATGGATATGAGAGCAGATAAAGAGCGCTCGAGCAGGTTATGAGGCCGAGCAGGTTTGAAGCAGTGACGCAAACCAAGCAAGCTGTGTTTTGCAGGTCTCAGAGACGGTAGGGAAGTGACGTAGATGGTACGAAGCTAGCCCTCGCAGGACCGACCGATGGGGGTTCGGTGCCAAGCACAACACCACGCAATTACTTCACTAGCCGTGCCTGCTCTGCTCTGCTCAAAGCGACAACGGAAGGGAGCGGAACGGAGGAAGTAAGAGTAAGCTGACACTCGTCGACAGACACTGCTGCATTCAGCGAACAGCGAACGACGCGACATGTACACATGAAACGTGATATATGTATGAACATGGTATATATATATATATGTGTGTGTGTGTGTGTGTGTGTGTGTGTGTGTTTATATATCGGTATTTGTGTATTCTTGCATAAACGATCCTCTTCACAGTGCAGCATGTCAAGGGAATCGGATCAACTGCAACTGCAACTGCAATCGCAACTGCAATTGCACGCGCAACGGGCAGCAGTTGGCGTCACCATGGAGATGTTCGCAGGCATTCTCCGCATGGGCACGGCCGACACGGGCGGGTCCTTCAAGCTCTTCCCGCTGCATCATCAAGCCACAACAGCAAATGGTCACGCAGATCCCGCAGTAGTAGACGACAATCAAATTGCTCTGTCCACCGAAACCGCCTTTGACGCTAACCACCAGAGAACTGTTCGTTATTCGACGCAGCCAACTGTTCGCTGCCCGTCATGTCCACAGTCGCATGGCCGCCCATACCGCCCGACCAGCTCGCCAAGGAAGAGAAAGCTGGCGAGGAGCGCGAGCTAGCATGGCTGCTGTCCGCTCTCCAGGACACTCTGCACTCCCTCAAGGCCGGCCTGAACGAGTGTGCCGACCTGCTCGCGCCCAAAGACGCCGGCTCTACGCTTGTTCTGTCGTCGTTGCGCTCCGAGTCGCTGAAGGGCTTCGTGACCCGCCTCGGTACGCGCGTTGTCAAAGGCGACGTCCACCTGCGCCTGCCTTCGCTGCCTCCTCCGCGCGGACAGAGCAGCTACAAGCTCTCCATCTCGACCGCGCCCTCGGCGCCTCCGCTGGTGTTGGAGCAGCTCGCCTCTGTTCGTACCCTCATCAACGCGTGTCTGGATGTCGTCGACGCCACGACGTGGACAGGAGACGCGCATAACGCCAACTTTATCGCCGGACAGCTGCGACTGCTGCACGACAACATCCAGGAAGCCAAACAGGCGTTGAAGGGTGGCTCAGACGTGCAGCAGACGCCATGGAACGAGGACCCGCTGGACGAGAGGGTATGTTCTCCGGCCGTCGCATCACAACGAATGGGCCACGCGAATACTCACAAAAAAACGCTCACAGATATTCGATCCGCCCCTCCCTCCAACCGTCTCCTTCCACCTTTCCATCTCCGAAGCAGCCATCCTTCTCCAAGTGCGCACACTGGAAGTCGTCCACGCCGGTCACAGCACCGGCACCTCCACGCCAAACTCCTTCACCACGCCGTCTTACTCAGGCTTCAGCATCCGTGATAGGCTCGCGGCTGCATTGGGTGCCGCCAAACCACCCACCCATGACGAAGCACACGACGTCTTCACCTACAAAGGACAAGACGTTCGCGTAAAGGAGAAAGTCCGGGTTGAGAGCCAAGACCCTAGCTTGTTGGCTGCCATGGCCAAGTTGAGTGCGCTGGAGCACAGCGTTGCCCTCAGTTGCAGGGCGCTTGACGTTGTCATGGACAAAGACGAGGAAACCTGATGACGGCTTTTCGGTTTTTCTTTTCCTTCTCTCTCTTCTTCCACTTGCTAGAATGACGTTCCATTTGCTTTCTCGAAATGATACCCCCTGGATTTTTGCTTCATCTGTTTTTCCGTATGCTCGAAGATCTTTCCCGACAACCCTCTGAAACCTCTTTATCTTTTTCCGACTATTTGATTGCTCTAGCAGAAAGACGAACTCGTTCGACTCGACGGGATTCTTTTTCTCGCAATGACAGACATAGACTGGAGAGGGCGGCCTTTGTGGTACCTTTATATCTTGCCTACACACACATGCGCAGTACAAACAGGGGTTTCCGGCAACGCTGAGAAAGAAACTCGTATTGAAATCACTTCTACGTTTCCCGTTTCCATGTTTCTCTATAGATCTGGGTATCTTATACAAAAACATCCCCGTTACGCCCCCCAATCTCGTTTTTCGTATTCATTCACACCGCAACCGCCTTCTCCGCCTCAAGCCCACCACCACCACCACCACCACCCCTCAACTCCACCCCCAACTCCTCCAAACTGCCCTCACCCCACCCCTCAAACCCCTTGAACCCATCCTCGACGACCCATCTCTGCTCGCTCCTCACGAGCACCTCACACGCGCTTCCCACGACCAACAAGCCCGGCGGCCTCGACCCCTCCTCCTCCACCGCCGCACAAACATACTCCAAGCTCGTCCTCACAACCCGCTGATCGGGACAACTGGCCCTCTCGATGACGGCACACGGCGTGGCCCTGGGCCAGCCTTTGTTCGCATCGACCAGACTCTCGACCAGGGCGCCCAGCCTGTGCAGCGCCATGAGGAACACCACGGTCTGGTTGGGCAGGTAGGCGGGCGGGTCGGGCGCGGCGCCCTTCCTCCCGGTGCCGGTGCACACGAGCACCTGGTCGCTGACGGCGCGATGCGTGACGGGGATGCGTGCGAACAGCGGCGCCGACAGCGCGCTCGTGATGCCCGGCAGCACGTCGACGTCGAAGCCGGCGGCGTGGAAGTGCGCGAACTCCTCGGCGCCGCGGCCGTACAGGTACGGGTCGCCCTGCTTGAGGCGCAGCACCGTCTGCCCGCGCTGCAGCGCCGCGAGGCCGAGCGAGAGGAGCTCCTCCTGCGCGGCTTCGGCGTTGCCGGGGAATTTGCGCGCGATGTGGATCGGGGTGCGGCGTGGGACGAGGTCGAGCACGGGCGCGGGCACGAGCTTGTCGGCGAGGATCAGGTCGGCGCTGCGGATCGCTTTGAGCGTGAGGTTGGTCAGGAGGTCTGGGTGGCCGGGGCCGGAGCCGGCGAGGATGATGCGGCCGCGACGGCGGCGGGAGTCGACGGTGGCCGGGTTCAGCAGTGCGCCGGACTCGCACGAGTCGGCGGCCGACTCGGTGGTGTAGGATTGCAGGACGTGCTCGACGTCGGCGTCGGTGATGGAGGCCAGGCGCCGCAGTGGCCAGTATTCGCAGATCTGCGAGAGCCAGCGCATGCGCCGGTTGCGCGCCGCTTCGAGGTCGGAGGGTGTGATCAATTTGTTGAAGGTCGCGCTCTGCCCGGACTCGTCGTCCTCGACTTCGGGATCGAGAGAGAGTTCGGCCGCGTGGTCTTCTTCCCAGATGCGTCGGCGGATGGTGCCCAGGCGCTCAACGGCTGGGCCGAGATCGGATGGCAGCGCAGAGGCGATTTCTCGTCTGATGCGGGATGCCAACTTGCAGCCTTTGCCGGATGTAGTCACGCCGACTTGAAGAGGTCCAGAGGTGTGTGTGGACAAGAGAGTGAAGGTGCAGAGGTTTGGCGCATCAGCGACGTTGACGGGTATCCGTAGACGGCGGCAAAGTGTAGAGATGCGTGTGCTCAACGCGTTCTTTCCTCCCACCGTCACAAACACCGCGTCGACGACATGGTCCACCTCTTCTCTCCCTAGCGTTGTGAGGTCCGACTCCTGGAAGTGTCTCTGTATCCACTCGACCTTGCCTTCTTCTATCTTCTTTGCCAGTCCGTAGTGCAGTGCGGCATCTGCAGGAGCAATGATTTTGGCATGCGCGCCGACTTCGATTGAGCGATTGCAACGCGCTCCGGCCAGAGGATTGGACCCAACGATCAGGTGTACATGATTCGCAGAGTCGACTGCCGTGAGTAGGGCGGGAGACATATTCGAATACTGGTTTAGGATACTGCAATGAGAAGTACGAGCAGCCAGGAGTGGCAATGACAACAGCGAAATCGGCCGGTATATACAAGAATAAAGGAAAGACGAGAAGAAGGAGAGGAAGTGTTGGGTCAATCAGTTATAGTAAAAACGATAAACATGGCGAACTCGGGCACAAGCAAAAGTCTCGGCGGGTTGATAAGAACGAAAAGTAACCGCCAGATCTTCGCCCCTCTATCGCGCAATCACCGCCCGCACTCGCACTAACCCCAGACGGGTAAGGGACACCTCCGCGGCCAAATGCTCCAATGAGAGCGAAGACGTGAAGTAAGCACCTTCAGGCCTTTTCTTTTCTTGTGAGACCTTTTCGATATCGGAGATGCTCATACACATGGGAGAGCGGTATCTTTCACGATATGTGATACTAACCTCGTGTTGTTGTCCAATGCTAATGACAGTCGGAATCCGATGTACGGCATTGAAAGTGGCCGTGGAACTGCAGCGCGAAACATCATCTTGCCTGCTGATCTCTATGTAGCTCATTACCCTGCATCGTCAATATAAGAACCGTCGTGTCACTCTAATTATCCAAAAGTCTGATACAGCGGAGTGCCATCCTGCATTCGATCGCTGATCTTATTGGTTCACACGTTGGACAGTGGGATTGGTACAAACCCCGTAAAACTTATACAGCCACAAAAGAACAAGGTCATACCCGGGATCGAACCGGGATTACCGGAATATGAGGAAGAATACTCAGAATCCGAGGTGCTAACCATTACACTATACGACCGATATCATGATGGTAAATTTTGATTAGAAAATTATGGAGTTTTCAAATAGGCTTCGCCCCACATGCTCCATCTGAAGTCATGAACAGCGGACAATACACGAATCACACCCTTAGGTTGTCGATACGTGTAGAAAGAATTGCTGTAATCTGTTGCCTTGCGACAGCGATGCCTCGGCTGCAGCCCATCGCTTGGATGTGCAGTTCAGCATCGCTCCAGACGCGTCCCGAAACTTGTGCCGTAGACCGGTGGAACAGCACTATCCAAATCTCGTACCCGCCTGGTTCGGTATACTGAAGCTCGCGCTGACTGGACGCTCGGGTCGTCTACAGAGAAATTGATGTTGGCCTCGAAAATCAGAATTCCTGACCGCTGTCTGGCTGGTTTCGCAAACTCTCAGGCCTTCCATCGTCTGCGACTCCGGTAATTCCGATTCGAGCCGCACGGTGCAGACAATCCCGCAGGATTGTTTTTCCGCTCATATCGTACCATGGGGGCTCCAGTTCAGTCGGACGTACACCCGTGTAGGCGTGCAGAATTCCGTAGGCGAGAAGGAACGCAGTCCGCTAGAGCTGGTCAATGTGGGTATACCCTCTCTAACCTGCGCGTTCGAGTAACTCGACCGGTCGTTCTCGCCCACAGGCACCGGACCTGTTGATCTTCACAGGAAGAACGTTGGCTGATTCCACGACGAGTATTTTGGGTTCACTACCAAGCTCCGCACTTGCGAGGAACGAGGACCTTTGTTCGCGCAAAAGAATCGTGTACTGGAATTATTGACCAGAGCAAGGATGGTTCATCGAGACAAGGTTGCCGTAGTTGGTGTAGGACTCGAGCTTCTCACACATGTATACTCGCTGACAGACATCAGGCGAATGGTACTCTAGGCCCGACAGTGGTTTCTCATCTCCTCGAGATCAATGTCGAAGTTACCATCCTAACCCGCGATCCGAAAAAGTCCGCGGGCCACTTCCCAACCGTCGTCCGCATCCTCGAAGCAGATTACTCTTCTCCAGAGAAACTGAGTTGCCTCCTGAAAGGTCACGACTCTGTCATCATTCTCATCAACCGCGACCAAGTCGACGCCCAAATCGCGGCCATCGACGCAGCAATAGCGGCCGGGGTGCCCCATATCATCCCTTCATCTTTCGGTCTCGACAACACAATCCCGGAAGTTCGTGACTCGATCCCTATAGCCGGCAAACGCCGTATGGAAGAGTACCTAGCTCATCAAGCGGAGCAAGGCAAGGTGAGCTTCACAGCATTGAACACGAGCATGTTCTTGGACTGGGCGGTCGCTGCCGGAGTGCTCGCTAATCCCAGAGGACTGACGATGGTCTTCGATGGTGGCGACAAACCGCTCTCTGCTACTACACTAGACGATATTGGCAAAGCAGTAGCAAAGATCATTCAGATTCGTGACCAGGTCAGGAACAGGTTCCTGTTCGTCCATTCGGCTGTCGTCACACAGAACCAACTTCTCGGATACCTGAAGGAACTGAAACCGGACGGCCAGTTTGCTACGGTGCAGTTGAAGACGGAAGAACTTGAAGAAAGAGCACTGAGGGCGATCGAAGAGGGGACCGCCACCCTGAGGGATATCCATGGCTTGATGGCGAGGGTGAGCTTTGGGCTGGGACACGGTCGATTCGGGCACGTTGATAACGAGTTACTGGGGATCCCGGAACATAGCGAAGAGCAGGTGAAGCAAACGGTCGCGAGGTTTGTGTAGTGTTGAGGTCAGGTTTTGGGCTCTGTAGTGCGAAGCCGCGTGCATCGTGTAGTCCGCAAAGCAGCACCTGCTGCAGGGCGTCTAGGCTTACCGTTGTGCTTCACATCTCACCGCGTCTATATCGGCTGCTTCCAAATCGAATCTCGAACGAAATCACTTCTCATCCGCTGTTGCGTGTTTTGATATTCACGCCTGCACTCAATTATCACCCTCCTCTCCCGGTCACCACCATACAAAGCCACACCTCGACGGTCTCAAGACGTCGGGGTTCTCCCTCTCACAACAGAATTGAATGCACCGTCACTGACGCACATCCAAACGATGCCGTTCTTTCAGATCCCATACGAGCTTCACAACATGATCTACGACCTCGCAATCTCCAGTCCTCAACATGATCATACCTACGAGGGAAATAGCGTCCCAACCCATCAACGCAATCAAGTATGGCCACCCGCACATTCCGCTACTCGGCATCCTGTCGTCAAGTCCCGTCTCGAAGCCTTGCGCGCGCCTATCACGAGGGCAACGAGTCCCACTCCAAGCTAGACCACGGTTTCAGTCGCACCTTCTCGACTCACGAAAGTGGAAAGCGGGCATCCCAATGCATGGTCGATCGGAAATATGCCGGTTAGGGCCGCAATCAGGTTGAGGTATCTTCTCGACCTTGGACACATGGGAGGCGTGGCTTTAGGATCGTTTGCAAGTCGTCGCCCCTACCGTTACCAGTACCGCCCGGTTGAGGAGAAGGGATGAGGACGACGTCGGCGAAAACTGCGTCAAGGTGCGCGCGACGAGATGATTTTGAGATGCTTTCGATGAGCCAGAGGGGCGTGTGAGCAGGGTCGCCAGCGGAAGGAAGATCGAGAGGGAGATTGGGGGCATGGTAACGCGGTTGTTCAAGGGGTACGGTGAAGGTGGGATCAGTCCTCTCGGAGGCGGTTTCATCCGAGGTTCACACTGGGGAAGGGCAACTGCAGCGAGGCAAGAAGAAGACTACTTACTGCTCACTGGAATATGGGCACCTGGAGGCCACCATCTGCACACCGAGTTCAGATAACGAGTTCATGTAATGTTGAGACGGCGGGTGGTGCAGCCCGCAAACAGATCGATGCCGAATTAGTTCAGTTCAACGATCTCCCACCATCGACCGGCAAACAAACACCCGTGATGAAGCTGGCTTCGTCACTAGCCAAAAACGCTGCCGCGTTGGCAATATCCTTTGCCGTAGCCCAACGGCCCATTGGGATGCCTTTCGTGATGGCCGCGCGGTTCTCGGGTGTGTCTTCCTTTCCCAAGACGAGCGGGACCCTTGGCACGTATGTGTCAGTCCATCGGAATTGGAGGAGAGAGAGATAGACTTACATAGCCGTTTCGCCAGCGACGGGCTCGATGGCGTTGCATCGGATACCCTCGGCTGCGTATTCGGCAGCCAGACCCTTTGTGACCTTCGTTGCGTCCCAGTGTTAGCGCAAAAAGTTGACTGCCTTATCCCCGGATTGAAGTTGAAGACGAGTACCACATACTGCGCTCACGGCTCCCTTACTGCCGGCATACCACACCAGGTTCGGTCTCGGCCTAGGAGCGCTGATGCTTGAGATGTTCACAAAGACGCCATGGCCCTGTTTGCGGAAATGTGGGATCACGGCGCGGGTGCTATGGTAGATGGACTTGACATTGATGCGCATGACGCGATCATACTCGTCTTCCGCCACGTCTACCGATGGCTGTAGATTTACCGTGCATCAGGGAATTGTCCGTTGCGTGTCTGTTGGCGATGTACGGGATAGGGTACTGACCGTGTTGCGATGCACGACTCCGGCATTATTGCAGACGATATCCAAACCTCCCAGTTCGCTTACGCACTTCTCGACTGCGTTTTTCCAATCCTCCTCGCGAGAGGCGTCTGCTTGACAAAACACGGCGCTGCCTTTAGGTTGGGCACCGGCGACTTTCTGTCCGTTCTCGGTGTTGATGTCGACGACGAGGACTCGCGCGCCTTCTTCAACGAATTTCTCTACGATGCCTGCACCGAATCCGAAACCACCTGTGAGAGTGAGCAGATGCCGCAAGCTCAGCGAGGAGGAGGAATACCTCCTGTAACAATAGCAACCTTGTTCTCCAGACGGCCCGGGCGAGACATGCTGGTGCAATAGGGAAGATACAGTGCTAGTGGAACAAAACTACAAAACTGGAGGGCAACGACAAGCGCGGGGCCTGAATGAGAAGAGAGGTTGACCGGAGGTGTTCCTGCTCGGTATTAGGGTAGGTGGGACATCTTTTGTATCTCCTACAATGCCGTGGAGGATGCTGATCGACACTTGGTGTGTCGATTCCCCGCACGATGCGCCCCGCAGTGAGGCTTGATCAAGTCTGTTCCGGAAAGACAAAAGCGTACGGATGCAAAGAAGCATGGGAAGGGTTTATGACCGCTCACACGCATTTGGTGTTGAGCGATTGAGAACCTGAGGGAAGTTTGTGAGTAAGAATAGATTGAAGGCTGCATGTACATGGATTGACAATTCCCCATCGACGCATACCACGGAAGATGCAGATGCTAAACAAGGAGGTAGGAAACAATAGAGGAGGATAGGCCGCCCCAAGAGCCTCAGAATTGTTGCAACGCGCCAGACTCCGCTCATTGAGTCCACCGCTTTTGATAATAGAATCGGATTCGTCGTCAAGAAGGGGTATAGTTGGAATCGTAAGGGGAGAGGAGTAAAGAAAGGCGGTTACATGACCGTACAGCAGCCGGCTTCCTTGTCGCCCTTCACGTTCTTCACTTGCAGGGCAACCCGGGCGGCTTCCGTAAAGGCCTCGTTGACGCCTCGGTTCTTCATCGCGGAGCATTCTGATAGGTACGTTAGTACGGTGCGATTCGATACTGATACGGCATGCAATCGCGCAGTTAGTCGCGAATGTGCGTTAAAAAACAGCACTTACCCAAGTATCTCAGCGCCTTGATCTTCTCCGCCACCGCCAGACCTTGCTTGTAGTCAATCAACGGCCTCTTTGGCTCGTTGCTGTCTTCCTCATCGTCTCCTTGCTTTTCCCGGAGATCGCATTTCAGTGCGACAAGCACGAGTCTGACGCCGGGACAGTTCTCAGCAATCTCACCAACCCACTTCGTCTCGACGTTTTCCAAAGAGTCGGGCGAGTCGACCTGCAGATCTGTCAGTTGCACGCACAGTCGCGTATATGAGGTGGTGTTGCGTACGCTGAAGCACAGCATTATTGCGTGAGTGTCATCGTACGAGAGCGATCGGAGCCGGT